TCACAGAAAAATGAACAACCCTTCTTACTGAAAGGAATACTTATTTTGACACTGTCCCAGTCTTCAGTGGAAGAACTTTGGGTTGAATAAAAATACTGATGAGTCTGCCTTTTTGGCTGTGTAAAAACTTGATGACCCTCCCCTAGATTCCTCCAGCAATCGCCCTCTTCTAAAAAATAAGTGTGCCCTTGTAGCATATTTAATAGCATTAACTTTATTCAAGAACATTGTCATATTTGAATAAAATTCACTTCACTTATTTACCTGATGACTTACTGTCTTGATTTCACCCTTGGAAATTGTTTCAGGTGAAAAGGATAATAAATATCAAGGAGGGGCTCACTCTCCAAAAAGGGCACTTTTGGATATTTTCTTGATTTAATACCTTAGACCATGAAATGAAACTTGTGAAACATATTGATGTATTTATCTTTTATTATTGAAGATATGCATTATATTTCCCACTGTAATATTATATATACCTGTACAGCAATCTACCTTTCTAACCTGGAACACTCTTATTCTTTTTACTTGGAGTATTATAAATACCAAATATTGACATGCTAAAAACCAACTTTTAATATTTTGTGTTTCCTTTTATTAAGGATCTGGTTATTTTTGTTATTTGTTGGTTTGGAAAGGAAATTCTATATCCTTATTCTTATAACATAACGACAGAACTTTGTGTTTTTGGTTCTTCATTATACCCATTTGCATCTATTTTATGTGCTGCATTAAATCGTGGTTTAGTTCTTTTCTGGATCTGATCTTCATCAATCTGTGTGGGACAGACTGTTCTTCGTAGTGCCAATAGTGAATACCTACAAACATTATCAATATGCATGTTAACATGTATGGCTTTTGATAAGAATCCTTTAAATTATATTGAACTCAGAAACAAACTCTGGGATGATCAAAGTCTGGATATGGCTAACTTGTATATCAACTACCAAAATATTCCTCACACTATTCCTTTAGTCAGGTAATCAGCACCATTTTTTTCAAATTTCTTTAGCAAGCTATGCATAAGTTTTACTATGATCATATCTAACCTTGGTAACAGAGCTGTAACAGATATCAACGCGCAAAGTGACCAGAATTCCTTGCTTGATAAAGTAACAATAGAAACAAAGTAGATTTTATGGGTGACTTGAACAAGACCAAAGCATATAGTCCATGCAAACGATAATATCATACTACCCCATAGGAAAAGATGGTGTATCCATGTCTAAGGAATATAAAAAATATGGTTAAAAACAAATGGAAAAGGCACTACGTAAAGTACATCAAAATGGGCCACTGCATTTGGTTCTTTACCCCACCCCTACCCCACCATTACCACTGAGGACGTCAGCCAACCCCCAGGGGGGAGGGGGCAGAAAATGGAAGTGAATGGAAATTTTGTCAAGAGTTTTAACAAGTGACTATCGGTTGGGTGACAAGAAATCTTCTAAAGTTAGGGCTTTTTTAAAAATATGGGCCATTAAAAAAAATCAAAAATCGACCATTGTCAGCTATAAACTGATTTCTTCATAGCTTATAGTAACTCACCCATTGAGAAGTGGCTAGCCCCAAGTGTAAATTTGCCAAGATAACAGCAGCTTGATGCATCGTTATACCAACCATTCTATCGTCTGCTGGCGTGTCTTCAAAGAGCTGTGCAAACAAGTCCAGTTAGTTACTATAATGATAATAAGAACGTTCTTTGCTTTGGGAGAGTTAGTAAAAGTCCCTCCGCCACTGCTAACCTCCACTCTGCTTCATGGACATTAATCACTCATATCCCTTAGTGCAGTGGTATTACCTATAAATATAGGGGTGTTCAAATCTCGCGATTTCGAAATTGCGCAAAATTCTAGTGCGTAAACCATCACGCTCATCATGGAACTATTTTGGACCAGGATATATTTGAAAAATCGCGTTTGTAGAAAACAGTTCTTGTGCTACTAAATTGCAGCCCCGACCATGAAATAAAACGAGAAGTAAACTTACCAGTGAACAACAGAGAAATAAAATGACACTTTGACTAGAGCATCTAGAATAGTCAACCAGATTAACTTGCGGGTGTACATCTATGAACAAGAACAAAAATCAGTGTATTGAAAGAAGAGATGATCACAGGCCACTTGCTATCTATAACCCTTCTTCATTTCATTAGTCATTATTATGTTGCGATGCAATTGATGTTGCGAGCCATGACACACAACGCAATTTGTTGCACGCAACGTTGCTGAAGTAGAAAACTATCCTTCTTCAGCAACATTGCCTGCAATTTTGCTCGCAATGTTGCACCGTGTGTCTGTGCCTTTATGGAACCAACATGACCGCCATTATGTAATGGAAGAACAGTTTCCATTTCCATGAATATACAAATCCTGTAATTACAGGGCTTCTCAATTACGCACGAAATCGTACAATTTACCGTCACAACGAAGGTGGTTTTGGTGGACGTCAATCAAAGCGTTTTCATGACATTTCCTTGGCACGTGCACTTGAAAACTGCGTTTTTCGACAATGTCATGGAAACACTTTGACGTAGAGAGGTGGATCTTGTTGCAACGGTAAATTGTACGATTTCGCGATTGAAATTGGGAAGTGTCGTAAGGCCTTATTTTTCTCTGTTACGATGAGCTGCTTCGGTAGGCAAAATAGTATGCATTTTCACCCCCCACCCCCCC